AAGTGACTAGTAAATTTTTTTTTCCCAAAAAAGTGGACTGTTCCTTTAAGAACATATCAAATTAATAACACTCTTACTAACTAATTAATATTAATATAACTGTGTTAAATGCTCAACTTCCTCAAAGATTTATTGGCTGTCAGAATCATTTTTTTTACTGAAAGTGACTTAATTTATTGTGTTTTTGTTACTAAAGTTGTGGTTTTTCTTGTCATTATAGTTTTCAAATTTCACATTTTCATAGAAATACAATAATTATTAAATCACAGTTAAGACAGTTATCATCTTTGTTATAAACAACACTTTATATATTAGGATGATAATCAATACAATGCATTGAGAAAACTGACTGACAGACAGAAAAGGCATTTGTATCATATTTGGCTGTTGGCCTGCAATACAACTCTGAGATAAATCAATTTCCACAGCACCGATGCTTTTACTCTCTCTCTCTCTTATAGTCTTATAGTTAAGGAATCTTAGCAGGAATAATCCCATAAATTTTATTAAAGCACTGTATGAACATACAATGCATGCCTAAATTTAAGTTTCAAGTTTAAAGCAATAACCTTTGAAATTCCCCCAATATTTGCTAAGTTGACATGAAATCACCAAGATTTAGGTGATTTACTCCGTGTGCAGGGTTTGGCTTTTACAATGACTTCAGAAATGAAACCATAGCTGTCCTTTTGCAGCATTATAACTAATTGTAAAAACAGAAGCATGTTTCACTGATTGTCTTTATTATTATTTATCCTGTCAGGCTAACCAGAATGTACCAGAATACATTTACAACCCTCACCTCATGGTTTTTCATTAAATTTTGGACACTCTGCAAATTGGTCCCATATTCTATAGATGAGGCCAAATGCAACCGCTCCTGAATCCATATCTACAAAAGCCAAGACAGAAAAACAGACAACTTGAGTATAGTAAATACTTAACAAATCAATATTTTCTGAAGAACACGTAAGCAGTACCTCTCTTTGCAAGGGAGTTGCTTTGCATTTGCTAAGATCTACTGAAATCATGATATTAATTACTGTGACTGTCAAACAGCAATGTCTGCAATTTAATTCAGATATACTTCTTGTTTCACTATATCTATGATCTGTAAGTAACGTACAAGCTTATGCTTTGTATATACTTTTGTATTATTGTTATATACAAATCTATATAGGTATAACTTCTTTACCTTATTTAATATGTCATACGCAAAAATTATGCTTATTATTCATTTTACATGACCTAAAGAGGAAATCCACGAAAATGTCATTTAGTGTAAAAAAAAATGTTTATATACAATACTTTAAGGATCACAAGGAATCCCCATTGGTCAGTTTTTATTCATTTAAAATCTAACTAAATTAATACAATCACTTTCATTTACATATTTTAATAAATGCATTGCATTATATATGTTTAATTTTTACATAAATGTTATAACAAAAAGAAACTGCTATTCCCATTAATTTTTTTTTTTTTTCCCCAATTTGAGCATAATTGGGTTCTGACCTAGTTGCTAGTTGGCTGCTAACTGATTGGCTGATTTGGCCGATGCTATGCTGTTCTGGTTTGCTGTTTGTAGACCCAAGTTAAAAGAGCCTCTTTTAATTGTTCTTGTATTGTTCTTGTATCTTGTATTAGAAAACTTCAAATCTTCAAAAAGCACCACAATTTGAAATATTCATAATTCTTTTTATGCACAAATTTAAACATTTAAATACTTTAATGACTAATGAGTGAATAGAAATAACAATGTTGTCTACTACTTTGAAGGAAAGACACTCACAATCTCATCCTCCAGGTCCTGTGTGACTTGATGCAATTCTTTTGAGGCAAGAAGAATCCGCCTCCTTTCCTTCAGAGGCTCAATCAGACGCACAATCCGGGTTTCTGGCACGCCTCCTTGCTCTTCTCCTTCAGGTCTCCTGTGTTCAGCACCAGCCATGACTTCACTAACGCCATGAAAAAGCTGCATTTGGTCTTCCCATGACTACAGGATGAAGAGAAAATAAGATTACACATGGATAAGAAGTTTTCTAAATCAAGATATTATATCTGCACTACAAAGGCAAAGCACAACTTATGCAAACACCAAAACTAAGACTTTTTTTAAAGTTAACTTTTTTTTTTATTTAAATTTTAAAATTGAATTGAATTTTTATTTGACAGATTTTAGACAAACTGTACAAAAATACAAGTTTCCCATACATTTTGAAATAAACCTGTCGAGGATAAAAACACAATAAAGCCCCGGGCTTGTTTCCATTGTGATCCTCGCTGTTAAAAAAACAAAGTATGGCTGCAAAATGCAGTTAATGCATAAAACAAACAGTACCTCCACATTTTAAAACAGGTACAAAAATATTCACAAATGCATGAAACAGTTAAGTTTTACTATTTTTGATTCCATTCAGCAAATCTATGGGTCTGACGGGAGCACTTTAGCTTAGCTTAGCATAAATCACTGAATTGCATTAGACCGTTAGCACCGTCACCGTCAGCTAAAAAGATTTAAAGAATTTAGAAAGGTTATGTTCCTATAGAAAAAATAATTTTCCAATTTAAACCCTTTCTCTTCTGTAGTTCTATTGTGTAGTAAGGAAAATTAAAAGTTGCTATTTTCTAGGTCGATATGGCTAGGAAATATACCTTCATTGGGTGTAATGATTAAGGAAATTGCCGCTGTACCATGGCTGCAGCAGGCGCAATGAAATTACGCAGCAATTTTACCTAGTTACCTTGGACAATTTTCAGATGCTGTATATTATAACTGAGCCTGCTTCTGCCATGGTACATCAGCAAATTTACTTTATTATTACAATGTGTGTATTTCCTCGCCCTTTCGACCTAGGCACAAAATGATCTAGGCGCAAAGTCTAAAGCGCATGGTGCAAAAGCGTAAAGGGCGAATCCACTTTTGCTATTTTAAGGATGAAAAATTAGCTTTGTGACGCAGTGCATGGTCTAACAGGGTTGTGCTGATTCTGTTAATGAGTTTTGGGTGTGTTTTGAGCATAACGTGCAATAATTCAATCAGAGTCTCATCTCCCATTCCCTTTAAAAGTCAATTGCGTCATGCCATGGCGCATTTTCTTTTTACACAGCAGACTTTGTTAGTGGAAAAATTTTAACATTCTGTCTTTTTACTTTCTCTTTACTTTACTTTTATTCTTTACTTTACTTCTTTACTTTCGTGCAGTTAGGAAAGACATCTATTAGCCTACATACTGTATTTAATTTCATTTGTTAAATGCAAGGATTTGTTTCAAAACTATTTCTATTCAGTTCTAATTTCCGGCAAACTAATAAATGAACAATAATAACATAGTGTGGTCAAAAAACTGAGTTATATCCAAACACACATCCTATTCTTATGCCTCATATGGTGTTGCATACATCTCCAAAACCCGACAGGTGGACAAATCTAGTTTTATTAAAACAAATATAAACATGCATATAATAAATAATACTGATAATAATAACAAAAAATTCAAATTGTCATGAATAAACTGAAAAAAGGCCCCCAAGATGAGGGATGGAGGCAATGGGTTTTATACTTATGTAGAAAATAATAATTTTTGTAACATTTTAATCCTTTATTTTTTAATATGTAAAGATATGTGTGTATTGCTGTACATCCTTTGTGTTTGAAGCAATGTGTAAGCATTTGGATCTGCTTAACTAACCCGCTCTGTGCTGGACTTTAGACCAGGTTTTAGCTGGTCTCCAAATACCAAAGCACTAACAATGCGCCTTAACACACTACCTTTTTAGACTGGCACACCCATGAGTCCACAAAGTGGTGCAAATGGATTTGCTATTTAAACAACATGGTGCAAAACGTGAAAAGTTACTATTGCGCTGGTCTAAAAATAGCAACAAATCATGCAAAACACGTCTTTTGCCTTATTTAAAACTTTTTTGACATTTTCGATCAAGATGCTAATAGTCTAATCCAGTTCAATGATTTATGCTAAGCTAAGCTAAAAGTGCTCCTCCCAGACCTGGAGATTGCCTGAATGGATTCAAAAATAGTAATACTTAAGGTGAGTTATAAAATTAATGTATTAAAGTTATCAATCTGGGCAAAACTTGTTTTCTGTAGATTAGTGTTTCTCTGGTAATTCTCTAAAGCAAGATTAATCTGAGCTAGACGACTTTATAATAAGACAGTACAGATGTAAAAAAGGCCATTTTAAGCTCAATTTACTCAATTTTGACTAAATGTGCAGTTACTGTGCTTTGCCTTTGGACAGCAGATATCATTCAGTAGCTTTATCTGGTCTCACTTGTATCCTCTGGAGCTGCTGGCTAAAAGTGGGACGGGGCTGGAGAAGGGTGGGTTGTGTGGTGTGGGTGGAGCCCAGTGTGGGCGGCTGCTCCTGTATGATGTTCAAATGCTGGTCCAGGTCGCTGAGGTTGTTAGTGGGCAGGTCAGTAGTCCGGTGGTTCTGGGTTTCAAAGAGCTGCCGGGCCTTGACTTTAGTGGTGTTCTCCAGGTGAGACCAGCACTCTCTGATCTCCTTCAACTTCATTTCCACCACCGATCGCAACTCGGGCTGCTCCTGGATCAGCTCTTCGCCCTCCTACAAACACACACACACACATACATGTAACATAACGCACTGACCCTCACAATGCTAGTGTATGGCTGAGTGTGTGTGTAAAATGGAAAGAGATCAAAGTAAAAAGAGTATCTTGTCTCTTCAGAGCCATGGCTGAAGTCCAGCCTCCTAAAATAGGGCGCGATCACACACACACACATAAGCACGCACATACTCAGTGTCTCTCTCTGCATCAGTGTGTAAAGGTTCATTCTCCCCTGCAGAAACACATGGAATTAAATTCAGACAATCTATATCCCTCTTTCCGTTACAGAGCTGTCACTGTGTCTGTGTGTGTACACGTGTGCGTGTCCATACGTGTGTGCGTTCGTGTTTCATAATGCAGTGCAGCATTTCTCCTTTTGGCACAAGTCGCCTGCTCCCCTGTACTGCAGCGAGAGAAAGAGTGTGTGAGAGAAGGAGAGAGAGATGGCAGGAAAGCAGATGGAGGAACAAAAAGGATGCAGAAATAAAGAGATACACAGAAAAAAAGAGGATGATGGAGAAGGAGGTTAATGAGAATGAAGATGGAAATGAAAAGCTGTGACAGATAGATAGTTCTAGTTGCATGCTAAGGTATACTAACTGGCTGTAATACATTATGAAGGCCGCAATATAATATTTTTTTGTTCGTCATCAGGGTTAGGTGATAACAAAACATACATGTAGCTTAGTCATCTATTTATGTACCTATTTAAAATGCAAGTAACTGTACTTTATAAAGGTTACATTTTATATAGGTGGTATTCAAATTACGGTTACTTCAAAACAGTATTTTAGATGACCAAAGTGATTTAGTTCCTGTCATTAGTTTGATCAAAATATTATTAGAAACAGTTTTGGTAATTATTTTAAATGACATGATCAATGTACACAGCCTGTTCAATTAGCATCATGTAGGCAAGTTATATTTAGAACTCACATAAATGGTGGGGAAATGAAAAAGCATTTTTTCAAGGAAATACAATTTTGATTTATTTCAGAAATGTGAAATCTGAGCGCAATGCTGGTGATGTTTTGACAATCAAACATCCACTGACATCAAGAGATTCAACATCTAAGGTGCAAATGCATCCTAATGTACAGTTTAAAAGTTTACATTTTTTAAATCTGCACAAATAAGGGAGCGTATCCTAAACATGTAATTTCTAATTTTAATTTTGGTTGTGCCAATTTAGTATTGTCTTGAATATGGTATTTTTACATAACTTTTATATTAATCTTGTATCTTAATATAGTCACCAGAATGACTTGCGATGTTTTTTTACGTTCTATGTTTGTCCTGCCAGTTGTTCTTTAGAAAATACTCCAGATTATCTAAATTGTTCTGTTTTATAATTTCTTAAGCATAATTTGTCCCTAACCAATCTCAGTCCTCATCAAAATTACTACATTTAAAATAAAAAGGTAAAAAAAATAATAAAAAGGTAAAAAAAAAAAATGTATTACAAAACCATGACACCATATAATCATGCATTTTTAATTGTTGGTGGTTTTCCCTGTTGGGAGGAGGTAAAATGTGTAATTTTTACTGTTGATCATCAGTTGGCACCAATAACCCTTTAGATTGGCCTGTGCAAAAAAAGCTAAGTTTCTAGATTTTATATGGAGTATAAACAGCAAATTAAAGTGTGTGTATGTGTGCATGCGAGTGTGTGAGAGTGACTATAACGCACTTATCTGATTGTATCTGAGAACATCATAAGGTACATGTCACCTCTCAGAACTACATGGAGTAAATAAAAACAAAGACTGTATTCATGCACCAGGGGAGGCACGGTGGAAGCAAGTAGGTTGCTGGTTATAGCCCCAACTGGACCAATTGGCATTTCTGTGTGGAGTTCTCCCCGTGTTGGTGTGGGTTTCCTCCAGGTGCTCTGGTTTCCCCCACAGTCCAAAGACATGTGCTAGGTGAATTGAATAAGCTAAATTGGCTGTAGTGTGTGAGTGTGAATGAGGGTGTATGGATGTTTCTGAGTACTGGGTTGCAGCTGGAAGGGCATCCACTGTGTAAAACATATGTTGGATAAGTTGGCGGTTCATTCCGCTCTGGCGACCCCAGATTAATAAAGGGACTAAACCGAAGGAAAATGAATGAATGAATAAACCTTTAAAAGGTTTGTTCACCCAAAAGCGAAAATTGAGTAATCACTTACTCAAGCTTTAATTATTCCAAACCTTTTTGAATTTCTTTATTCTGTTAAACAAATAAAATATTTTTTTTGAAGAAATCTGGAACCCTGTAACCTTTGACTTCTATAATATACAAGAAAATCAAAGTGGTAAGAAAACCGCAGTTTAGAAATCATGTAATTATAGCAATATTTGTACGATCACACAAGCTCTGTGATTCAACACTCATTTAAGTCTTAAAATAATTACGTATATAGCAATTTATACAATATTTAGCTTCAATGAATGTAGTTTCATATTTAAAAATTGTCAGTTTCACTTTTAATTAGAATAATAACAAAATTTTTGCCTGATTTTGTTCAAAATGATGTCACACCACTTCATTCGCTTACTCGAAGCTTATCAGAGGATTTAAGGTGTAGAATTTTCCAGCAGGCTGCTATGCATTGCTACAGTTAAACCTAAAGGAGACAAGCAATGAAGCACACAATCATGAGTACCTGTTCTCTTTTCATCGCCACTTTACGCACTACAAATGACTGATATGTGCATATGTGTGTGTGAGAAAAGATGGAAATGCATGTGAGCCGTGTCAACCTATTATTGTACATCACATGTTACATCATGTATTCTTGTGAATGGCCTGGCAAGGTCAGCTCTAAGGACATCCTCGTGTACTGTGATTGGTTCAGCTGCCTGTCAGTCATGGAGGATGCTGAGGCGAGTGATTGTGGAAGTGAGGGAGAGGGCGGGAACTCTTCCAAAAGGACGACGAGCTGTCCAATCACAGTGGGATGCGGTGTCATTGCTTCTGCTGTTTCTCAGGTTACAGCCTCATTAACTCACGTTTCCGCGGATACGTAGCACTGTCTGAGCATGAGCGGGTTTGTGTGTGATGCTGTAATTGCTCTCAAGTCAGGCAGCTCCTCAGGGCTACAGAAATCAGCTTCAGGAAATACTGGCATCCATCTTAGTTGAGCTGAATAAAAAAAATTGTGCTAAAACATCTTTCTCCATGATACAAGCCACACTGATGATTTTTGTGTTATACACTAAGATGTTAAAGAGAAAACACATAGTAGAGTTCAGTTTTAAACAAATCCCAAGTCCTTCTTCTACACTGAAAATGATTAGTCACCAACAAATCAAAATTGATCATACTTGTTTTACAGAATGCTGCAGTGCCTATTATTAATGATTTATCCGCACACATCTTAGCAATTAAACAAGTATTACGCCCTTGAAATCTTTAACCAAAATCATTAACCTTCCTTCTCCTCCTAAACAGCATCTGTTCTCTTCATCATGTATGTCAGATCTGCCTCCAGTAAATAAACACCCAATTTCCTATGATCCAACTTCCTACTGACAATTTCTCAAGGACAAAATCAAATTACAACCTATTTTCTTCTAATACCAGAAGTTTAATGCCAACTAAACATATAAAATATAATATTAAAGATGTGTATAGTATTAGAGGCGGCACAGTGGGGTATTGGATAGTGCTGTCGACCCACAGCAAGAAGGTCAATTGTTTGATCCCCGGCTGGGTCGGTTGGCATTTCTGTGTGGAAAGTGCATATTCTCCTCCCCCCCCCAGAGTGTATGTGTGTGAATGTGAGTGTATGGGTGTTTCCGAGTGATGGGTTGCAGCTGGATGGACATCCGCTGTGTAAAACATAGGCTGGACAAGTTGGTGGGTTATTCCGCTGTGGCGATCCCTCATTAATAAAGGGAATAAGCCAAAAAGAAAAAAAAATTATGATAATTTCAGATGAAAGCTTGTATTCTTTTAAATTAAAAATCAAGTGCACGTCGTGAAGCACCAACTAATCAAATACATTTTAATATGAGCATTATTGTATTAGAAAGAATTCTTTGATCGATTATTTTTGTTTTTTAAATCAACAGCGCATCTACAATAGAGTCATAAATTGTCAAGAAAATTTCAAGATAAGGGTCAAAAACTGTTCCTGCCATTCCACAATTAAACAAAACCTAATAAAGGGAAGACAGTTCAGCCCAAAATAAAAAAAAATGACAAAAAAAATTTTGTTTAATATAAAAGTAGATATTATAAGGAATGTGCAAACCAGTAGCCAATGGCATTCATAGTAAGAAAAAACTATAAATCAATCGGTACCGGTTTCCAACATTCTTTAAAATGTCTTCTTTTGGTTTCAGCAGAGGAAAAGTTTGGAACAAGTGGAGGGTAAGTAAATGATGACAGAATTTTCATTTTGAGTGAACTATCCCTTTAAAACTGTCTTGACTAAAGTGAAAATGAATTATTTATTTGTTATATTGCGCATCAGATTTATTTTCATTCATGTTTTAGTGCTGATCATTATAACTAATCACACATATTTCTGTTAAGCTAATGAGCTTAGTTGCCAATCAGACTTTTAGATCAATCACTGCTGATAATGCTGGAGTGTGTGCATTCCCTCATCACAAAAAAGTAAAGTAAGAAAGTCATTTACAAGCCTCAGTGAATACAATTGGAGTTTTTAAAATGAATTAAGCTAGCTTTTCCAGAGTAATGGGAATTTGATCTGTCATTGTGTTTTATAATGTATGCATAATTAAAAGCTCATTTATATACAGTTTCTTAACTGATATCAAGTTTGTTGATAAACATGATGCTATTTTTTCAATCACATTGTACCTAAATGTAATTTTTCAAACACACAGATGCATTTTTACAAAAACACACATGAATGAAATGTATTTCTACAAAATAAAATGTCAAAAAAAGGCCCACAGAACTGTAAAAAAAATCCGAGATTTCTGACACAGCTGTAGTTCTGAAACAAAATCCTGAAGAACGGAGACAGAAAAGGAAGCAT